TTCATGGGCGTACAGAATGTCAAAATTATTTAATGTAAAGTATTATTTTTTGAGTACTAAACATTTAATAATGTTTTTATAAATTTTGTATTATCAAGAATTAGACATGTATAAACTAAATAATTTAAATAATTCTAAAATTATCAAAATAATCACCATAACAGTTTTCGACTTTTTAGTAATATGACTACGTTCATGAATGCTCGTGACTATACGTGACTTTTTCGGATTATTAGCTTAGTTAGGGACATTTTAATTAGTTGGTAGTACTATGATGAATGACCGACGTCATTGCTGACGTGCATCGGGATTTGTATTAAAAATACTATACATATGTACAGGGTAGCCGGTTTCCCTGTAAATAGTTGGTTACAAGTTTGCTTGACCTCGACAGTAGCGCGTTAGGCGCCTTTGGGTAAACTTAAGCCATGATACTATTAAAAAGAAGGTATGATATTACGCAGATTGGTACTATAGGAAACGGTGACGTAATGTTGTAACAACCAACTAGAATAAATACCCATTAGGTTCAACTAATAGGTATCTAGCTACTGTTGTCAATATACTATTAAGGGATGAAGGCAGCACTGTCTCCAGCCAAAGGATCATGGAGTCCAGAAGGAATATACATTCACCAGTGGCAAATAAAAAAAATAATAAAAAAATTATCCCTTTATAGCATAGGATGGCACAAAATTTATCAAAAACATTTGATCGAATGCATAGATCGAAAAGAAAATTGATCGAAAATAAAATTGATCGAAAATAGATATGATAGAAAAAACTATTGATCAAAAAACCAAATATACATGAAATAAGAAAAAAATTAAATAATTTACCTAACCTGTGCGGCCTAGAGCCATCGCTGGTTGCTTCGCAAAAAATATACCAAAAAATAAAAAAAAATAGAAAACTTAACTGAATTATCTGACGTGTAACAGAGCAATCAATTAAATTTAAATGGCTCCAGGGCGCACGGTTAGGTATATTAGTTAAGTTTTTTAATTTTGTTGATTTTGTATATTTTTAGCGATTTTAAAAAAAGAAACAATTAATTTACCTAACCTGTGCGAGAAAATTAATGAAGTTCTTTTTATTTTTCTCATTTTTGTATATATACTTTTTGTAAAGTTAAGGTTTTGTTTTTAATTTTTCTCATTTTTGTATAATTTTTTTGCGAGGCAAAACCGCTACAGCTCTAGGCCGCATAGCTTAGCTAAATTAGTTAAGTTTTGTAAAAAAACACTAAATTATTTATCTAAAATGTGCTATGGGGAGGCAACTATAACTTACTGAAATACATATTAATCACAATGCTTTAATCTCAATGACAATAAATAATTGTTGGGCTCTAAAAATATTAAATTGTTAATTAATAGTATTGATACGGTAAAATTTGATAAATGAGGCGGCTATCGTTTGAGATTATTGAAAATTTGTCATTAGCACCTAATTTGTCGATAGCCGCTGAGTTTAGTTTCCCCGGTAATATGAATTCAACGGACTGTTGCATGGTGTCGTTTAATTTTTTATGTTGGTTTTCTGTATATTGTTCTTTCGATCTAATGAATTTTAGATATATTGTCTTTTAGATAAAACATATTTTCGATAAAATGTTATTCGACAAAATATATTTTTAATCGAATGCAATTCAATAAAATGTATTTTCGATCAATTTTCCAATTGGTTCAAATGGTTATCGATTAATTTTGTGCCACCCTATAGCATAGCGGCTTTGGCAACTGATTTTACACTCTTCTAGTCCTACTGGTGGAAACGACGAGGCTTCACAAATGCTCGAAATATTTCATAACTGGTTTTTGAAAAGGGAAGGAGCGGATAATAATAATAATAATAATAAGTATTAAAACAGTAATAAATGTTTATTTAAAATAAGTACAAAATGACTGGTAGTCTCAAGAATAAATGAATTAAATTATATTTAAGGATTAAAGCACTATTTGATAATATATCCAAACTTTTAATAAAGACCTATGATTTATGACAACTAGATAAACTTTGTATTGAATTATATAATTTGGACTTATTAACAACTAAAATAGCACTGGAAACTTTAACTATATAATAATATATTATATAAGATAAATATAATACTCGGGACGAAAATGTAAAAATTGCCATTTATATGTAATCTATTAATTATCAAAAAACCAAAACCCAATAACAACTATAAATAAATTACTTAAATCTAACTCAAACTATATTAATTACATTTACATTACATATTGTAGGGCAACATAAATTAATTTATTATGAAAGCCATATTTACACTATCTTGTAACATTTAAATTTAGCTTTTACTTTACATTTATTAACGATTATCCCTATATTTGACCATACATGGTTTTAAAGTGAAAGGGTTGCATCAGTTATTATTGATTTCTTTACCATTATCTACTAACATTTCTTTTTTTATGTTTCTAAAACGGCTTTATACTTAGTGTTGGCAGCGCCATAACTGCTTCTAGGTGAACTAGAAACAAGGAAACAATTCCCACCTATTATAATTTAAACCTATTTCTTTTATTTTTCTATACCTACGTATTTTTCTCTGTTTATATAATTACACAGGTTTACAAAAAAAATAAAAAGTTCAGACTATTTTACCGGACCATGGTATTCCTAGGTATTTTGGCGTCCTGAATCCGATCCCGGGGTCAGTTTTGCTTCATCGCGTCAGAAAACCCAGATTTCAAGGTCATTTAGAGGTTAAAATGGTGCTTTTTCGGAACCGGCCCCGGAACAATTTCTCAGGCGATCTATTAAGTTGAGGGGTAACTGTCTAGGTCGTGAATACCTTTCAAACATTGGACAGGGGCGATGAATCTCGACCAGGATCAGCGCAGGGATAGCCCAGTGGATAAAATGTTACCATGATGGTTGTATCTCGCGAATTTCGATCTTCCTGCCTAGGTGTTCAATTTCAATTTTCATTCTAATAGCCTACTCGACGATTTTGAGTGAGAACTACTGCAATATGGACTATTTGCTCCAAAAAATCAATTACAGCAAGTACAAATATGTACGAATTTGAAGGTGGTAACAATACTTTTGGGACAACAGAGTAGATTTACAAAATACCCTTGTTTTTTATGTAAATGGGACAGTCGAGCTCGTGATGAGCATTACCAAAGGAAGGTTTGGCCATCAAGGGACAATTTTTTTGTGGGTGAGAAGAATATATACCAAGTGAAATTAGTGGATCCCAAAAGTATTTTACTACCTCCTCTCCATATTAAACATTCGTCAAGGCTCTTAAGAAAAGAAGTAGCGAAGCCTTTCGATATATCTACCAAAAATTTCCAAAGTTGTCAGATGCTAAACTCAAAGAAGGGATTTTCAATGGGCCGCTAATATGAGAACTTATAAAAAATACAGAATTCCCGAAGAAGATGGTGGTAGATGAGGAAGAAGCATGGAACAGCTTCGTGAATGTTTCTCAGAAATTTCTTGGTAATACTAAAGACCCAAACTATATGGATTTGGTGGAGGGCTTGCTCCAGAACTATAAAGCCATTGGATGTTTGATGAACTTGAAGGTCCACTTCTTGGATTCGCATTTGGGAAATTTCCCAGAAAACCTCGGACATTTTTGCTAAGAATAAGGTGAAAGATTCCACCAAGGTATAAAAGAGATGGAAAGACGCTACCAAGGTTTTTTGGGACATTAACATATTGACAGATTACTGTTGGAACTTGAAGAGGGATACCAACAAGGGACATAAGAGAAAGGCGCTTAGAAGGAGTTTTAATCAAACCTGCTGACCCCATAAACAAGCACGCAAAGATTAAAAACTTGGGAGGGAAAAAATGAGAGGCTAAGGAACTCTCTATAAACAAACACCATGAAGGGAACAGTATCTGCAACGTCCCCGTCGTTGTTCCTGGGTATTGCTAATAGCAGAACTGAGTTTATCAGCAGAATCAAAGTCATAGTCGCAAATATTGTATGATAGCCACACCAATTCACGTGGTGGAATGTGACGTCTTATTAGAGGGATTGAATTCCAATGGCCTGCCTCAGCAGAACAAAGGTGGCAAACTCTGAAATTGCTGATTGGGATCCTCGGGCCATTTTCTGCAACCTTAGTTTGCCCCGGACAGTATACTCAGCTTGACCCAATTTTTGGACGATGTTATAGGAGCACTTTGAGAAGTAATGGCAATAACTGACGATAACTCAATCGCCAAAATTCTACTCCAATGTTCTGTCAAGGTTCTAGGGCCATTTGGGTCAGTGCTGGATCCACTGGCATTATCTCACAGCAAATGGATCGCCGAAATTGAACACCTTAGCAGGAAGATAAAAATTCGCGAGATACAACGATCATGACAACTCTTTATCCACATGGCTGGCCCTGCGCTGGTCCTGGTCGAGATTTGGGGACCGTTTCCAATGTTTGGAAGGTATTCAAGACCTACACAGTTACTACTCAACTTAACAGATCGTTTGAGAAATTGTCCCGGAGCCAGTTCGAAAAAATCACCATTTTGACCTCTAAATGACCTTGAAATCTGGTTTTTCTGACGTGATGGGGCAAAACTGACCCCGGGATTGGATTCAGGACGCCAAAATACCTAGGAATACCATGGTCTGATCAAATAGTCCGGACTTTTTTTTTGTAAACCTGTGTTATTGAAGATGTCTGAGATATGTTCTTTATTTTTTTTTATTTTTTCTATCCCCTTTCATCTTTCGCAGACTAAGAAAATTATGATATATTCATTTTATAATACCAGAATGGGATCCTGACCATTTTTATTTAGTTGATTATATTTTTTGGAATAATTCTATAAAAGCTAAGAATCGGCCCTGGCGGCGGAATTTCTCGTCCACAATATAACATACGCAGTTGCAGTGTGCAGCATGATTCCAAAGTCTGGCCAAGTATTTCACCGAAGAGCAGCACGTTTAAAACGACCCGTTTAGCTTGAATTATACGTGTAATGTGATATATACAGGGCCCATAACCATCTCTTTATTGCCTGATCCCCCAGCCGAGTGGAAACCCGTTAGTTATATTAGTATATGGTCTATGAGTCTTGTCGGATTTTTTCTGTATTTGTGAAGATGATAGCCAGGAGTGCATGCACAGGACTACGAAGTTGTAGCGAGATCCGAATGGTTCTGAAAATTGAAGTTATGATGGTCATGTTTTAAGCGATAGTGTCGTATGTTCTTAGAATTGCTTTGGTTTACGGCTTAGGAGATTGTTTCTGTAATATACACACAACATAATCCAATTTTATATGAAATTAGCCGTAGATATGGCTAATGGTTGAAAAATTAAAATAAAAAACTATTTAAAAATAAATCGTAGACTAGTATACAAAAAATTAAATAAAATAAATGAATCACGAATCTGTATGTCACAACAGGTTGGGAGAAGGGTCTGGAATAATTAATAATAGCTTGGCAAAATAATTCCAAATTTGAAAATATTTTTTATGAATTCAATATAAGTTATATTCACACTTTTTTTTGGTACAGGCTAAAATGTATTTAAGTATTAATTTTTTTTAGTTTTTCGGAGGGGGGCTAAATATTAAAATAAAAAAAAATATCAAAATAAGTCAATTTCTTTTAGACCAATCCACAATTTTTTCTGACAAATGCATTTTATAATTAGAAAACCGATCCGCCCTAAGAGGAGACACCTCCCAGCGACAACCAGCAGGTTTTTGATAAGTTGATAACCTGCAGGACTTTAATAAGCTGGAAGGCTTGCTAATTTTTGGAGACCTCTGAGTGACACCCAGGCAGATTTTTGACAAGTTGATAATCTGCAGGACTTTGATGAGCTGGGAAGATGGCTGTCTCTAGATACCTCTTGGCGACAACCAGCAGATTTTTAACAAGTTGAGAGGCAGGTCATAAATGCTCCTAAAGTATACAAAATGGGCTGAATACCGCACTCCCCCGCCTAACAGAGAAATTTACATAGAAGACCGAAAATAAACACGCAAATCTTAATCAGTGACAATAACATTTTATAGTCGGGTGACTGTATATTTTGAGATAACACGAAACTAGAGGAGTTAGAGCTCGTAGTAGGTACCACCATTCTTAACTTGTAAGCTCTGACTATCATTAATCAGCTAAATATGGATTTTCTTAAGAACATATGCGCGCTATGATCTACTACCATTTCAAAGTCGGTTTGAGTGAACAACAACGTCTTGACTGGTTGCAACTCGCATTTGGAGATGAAAGTCCTTCATGAACAACTGTGGTTCACTGGCATAGCGAATTTAAAAGAGGACGGATATCACTTGGTAATGATGCATGAGGCCTTTATTTAAGTTATTGTTGGAAACATTGAGAGTGATATTAATATCAATTTCTGTACAGAATTTGTTAATCATAATCTAGGCGCGGATGATTCAGCAATAAACTCCAAAATTAAAAATGTTTACAATGTACCTCAAAATAACTTTAAATTAGAATATAGGTTACAAAGATTAATCATACATATTTTTAAAATCATTTGGCATCTATGCCCTGGTACAATATTTATTTTTCTGACAGCTTTGATAAAAAAATAGAGTTCTTAAATAGCTACATAATTACAGTTTTAGATATACATGCGCCAAAAAAAAAATTAAAAACTAGAAAATTAATTAATCATTCTCCCTGGATTACTGAAAATAATATTTATATGCAAAGACTTAGAGATAAAGCCTTGCAAAAATTTCGCAAAACAAAACATCTAGCGCATTGGGATAACTATTAACAATTAGGAAACTAGACAACTACAGCTATAGAAACGGGGAAAAGGGTCTACTTTAATTTTAAATTTTAAACCTGTAATATTATGGAAAAATAGTCAGAATTAAAAAAACTCAATATATCAAGACAAAAAAAATTTAAATACCTTCCAATCTAAAATTAGTTAATTTCATTAACAAATTTTTCACTTCAAACATTCTGCCACAAAAATAGATTTACAACATTTTTACCTTAACAATTTTAAAGAAAATATTTTATTTTAATGATGTTTCGGAAGATGTCAGTAATATTATTTACAATATTAAATCTGAAGCTTATGGAATTGATGATATTAATATTACCATTTTACACTTTTGTTGTCCATTTCTATTACCCATTATTACACACATTATTAATGAATGTTTAAAAAATAGTTATTTTCCTGATTCATGGAAATTCGCTAAAGTGTTGCCCTTACCAAAAGTAACTTTGCCTAAAGAATATAGTGCTTTAAGATCATTTAGTATTTTACCTGTTTTCTCCAAAATATTAGAGAGTAATGGAAATTTAAACGAGAGGGCTTTTGAAAAACAACAATATATTACCTAGTAAACAAACTGGTTTTAGGTCAGGCTATAATGTGCTACAGCCCAAGCGGCCATCGATAATGACAAGATTTGTAATTTCTATCTCAATACTATTAGATTTCTTGAAAGCTTTGAATAATATAAATCATTAAAGTTTACTTTTCACGTTGAAGTTTTCTAGATTTAATAATACATCTTAAAATCGTATCTTTATCAGCGAAAACAAATTGTTCAAATAGACAATATGTCTTCTACACCGTTGAAGATGACATCTGGTGGAACTCAAGGTAGTATTTTAGGCCCTTTATTATATACTCTCTATACCTCACAATTTCCAATAACGCGTTTATCCCAATTGTTACGCAATGTAAATACTAAGGTCATACTTTAGATTCAAAATTAAAGTATGAAAAACATATTACTTTAAAATTAAAAATGTCCCATCCATGAAACTAATATATGCGCAAAGATATTTTTTACCACCAAATGTAAAAAAGATGGTATGTGAGTCACTAGTATTATTAAATTTCAATTATTGTAGGTTTAATATTTGTAATTCGTAAATATGATCACATTTCTACTAAATTTAAAGATACTAAATGGTTAAATATGAGTAATAGAAGAAATTTACATTTTGCTTGTCTCAGTCCAAAATTATTTAATATGAGAACACCGATATACTTGCATGTTCTTTTATCTTCAATTTCACAGTCCATATCAATAACCTGTTAAAAATGGATCCAACATTATTATATTTGAAAGCAGAATTCTTTAAATGCCGCTATAAAAAAATACTGCTGCAAACAGAATAATTACTTTTTATTTCCACTCTTTCTTCTTTTTCAATTTTCTTTTTTTATTCTCTCATTTCTCTTTTTCCTATTCTTTTTCCTTTCCTCTTCCCTTTTATTCTCATTAAACTTTTTATAATTTTAGAAAGCCAATTTAAAATGCATTTTTTATATCATGTTGGCATTGATGGAAGACCAGTGGTGGAGAATATCCGCACCTGAACCAATTTGAGCCAATTGTCTACTGACTTTTTTTATATTTTTAATTGTATAAACTGTACTTTATATGTGGAAAATAAATGTATTATTATTTTTATTTTATTATTATGTATGATCTTCTTCGATCAAAACAGATCCAAGATGCACCTATCAAGCGACTGAGGCAACTCTTAGGGTTGGATCTGCAAGAGTAAATTTAATTTTTCATTATCATCTATTATAAAAAAAAAATATATTACTCCAACAATGGCGAAAAAGCAAAGGGCTATCCAGAAAGATATCTAAGCAGTTTTCTTTCGTAGTACATGATTAATAAAAGCAATTAAAGTTAAAGATCAACGTACAGTTACAGCAAACTGGTACACCATAAAATGTTTACCAGCAGTTCTTGAGTCAGTCATGACTGGCTTCAAGCTTTTAAGTTGTGGAAGCTTTACTTAAAAACGTGCATTGATATAGTGATGATTACTTTGAATATAACTAAAATCATTTTCCTAAAAACAATTAGAGTTTTCTGTATCTAAAAATATATAGCGTGACCCTCGTATTTGGAATATTGTCAATGGAATAATATTATTGAATTATTGTTTTATGTGCGTCTATGCAATTTATTGATTTCAACTAGAGAGCAGATGGTTAATTTTTTTAAGATTAAAAACATGTTACGAATATGATTATTTTAGTAACGTTGTTTTCAGTTTCAGGAGAGACATTATTTATTAAATCCAATACTATTAAAACGACAGTAAATAATTTTGACTAACAATATTTTTCCTATTTACATCGCAACATTTACTTTAACCCAAGCTGTGTCAATAAAAGTACCGTATTTTTCTGAAACAACCGAATCAGCATTTACATTAACATTATAGACATTGTCATCAAGAAAACACTAAAAACACCGGAGACATGCAATAAAGAGGGCGACCCCTTTTCATTTTAAACTATTGTTCTTGTAAATTGAAATAATGGACTAGGGGATGAATCTTTTTGTTAAAATATTCCTTAGTCCTGCTGTACTTCAGTATCGATCCTGGCAAAGTCGTGCAATTTGGCTGATGTCTATTGTTAATATTTTTCTATAAGAGATATTAGTATTGTCGGGCTGGCGTCAGTTCGAGAATCATTAAATCGCTGCTGCTCTTTCGAAATTGTTTCAGACTGTTAGTAATTATCATAAAGTGATTAGAATCAAAAGTATATTTTTATACAAGGTGGCGCAAAATCAAGTACCCTATGGAATGTTGTCATGGTTTCGTTTGTAGTTGACATCTGTTCGAGTTTTTCTGTCAGTTGCAAAGTAGATACAAAAGGAAATTCATTATGAATCGATATACGCCTCGAGAACGTGCCGAAATCGTAAAAAATTTTTATCAAAATAATTCGTCGATTATCAGAATTTTTCCTGAACGCCTTATCTCGAAAAACGCCGATATTGCATATCCACCAAGGTCTCCCGATTTAACTGTTCCACACTTTTGGGTATTGGGTTATCTCAAAGATAGGGTATTTGTAAATAATCCTCGAACACTAGAAGTATTAAAAGACATCATCCGGGAAGAAATTGATAGAATACCACCTGAAATGTTGGAGAAAGTTATGAAAAATGCTTTAAAAAGAGCTCATTATTGCATTAATTCTGGGGGTGGCCATTTGGTCGATATTGTTTTAGTGTGTAACAAAACAAATTTTTAGAGTTTAAGTAAATATTTTTCATTTATAATATGACTGTTTTTTAATTAATATTACTTTTATATAAAAAACAAATAGGGGACTTTATTTTGCGCCACCTTATATAAAATGAGGAGTATCTTTCAACGTA